GACCCCCGAGAATCCCCACCCCGCCCGTGGAACGGGTCGAATGGCAAATGCGGAGCCCGGACCGCGCACTCCCGCCTCCCCGGTCCCGAACGCCGGGGCCCTGCCAGCTCCCAGACCAAAAGCGACCTCCCCACACGGGAAGATGCGGGCTGGGGGCTGCGGTGCTCCCAAGCAGGGTGTCTCGGGTCCCACTGCTGTCCCCATGGTGACACCCGTCCGGGCAGGGACACCCTGGGGACCCAATACCCACTTGGTGACACCCTGGCAGTCCTCAGCAGCTGCCATTAGTCACACGATGAGACACCATCAGGCTTCCCACCCGCCCTATACCCCTGCACTGTCCCCTTCGTCACCCAAATACCACACACACACACACACACTGTTAATAGACGTGGAGACTTGCTGTCCCCAGTGAACAAGAGGATTGACAGAAGCAGGGACATGGGATGAACGTGGGTGCATTGGGCCCTCCACAAAGCATCACCCACCACGGGTGGACAGAAGGACCAGGTGGCCCCCGGGTACCCAGTCCCATTCGAGGGTGCCCAGGAATGGCTGTTCGAAGGGGATGCTGTCCCCAAGCAGCCCCCATCCCCAGGTTCTGCACCACGGGGGTCTCCAGCTCCACGTGCAACCCCTTGTCCTCCAGCCTTCACTGGCGACACCACGTGTCACTTTGCTCTGTCCCTCCTTCCCCCCTCCCCGGGTGTGAGCGGGGGAAGCGGGGGGTGCCCAGCTTTACCCCTTGGTTTGGGGGTTCCTGATTGCAGCTGTGTAGGCAGCAAGCAATGCTCCCCTCTGCCATGCACCCAATGACGCCCAGGGTGGAAGGAGGGTGTCCCCAAGGGCCCTCTCCACCCCAGAGCATGTCCTCATCCCCATCCCTAGCAGGCTGAGCTCTAGGCACAGGCATCCCCCAAAGCTGGTGGTCTGGGGGCATCAATGCGGGAAGGGGCAGGGCAGTCCCCAGAGGTGGCTGAAAGCAGGGACAAAATTGCCCTGGCTCCAGCCCTTGTCCCCTCCATCCTGCTGAGGCTCCCCAGCTTCCCCTGTCGTGCTCCTCCATCCTATGTTGTCAAAGAAATTCAGCTCAGGGAGGGCCCCAGGCCTGGTGTCACGGTGACATGCAGCAGGCAGGACACGGTGACACATGGTGTAGCAACACACGGGTTGCTACAGAAACGGAGGCTCAGTTGTGCATCCAAGGGCTGCAGAGCCACCTCATCAAGGCCAGGTAGCGGGCAGCAGGGACAGCAGCAGGGACAGCAGAGGTGGCAGAAGGCAGCTCAGGGACAGAGGAAAAGGGGCTGAGCCGCATTCCTCGAGGACATTCCCTGGGGGGCATCAAAGTGGCCTCATGGGGGGGGAAACTGAGGCAGGGGGCTGGATGGGTTGTGCTGGGAGCAGGCTGGGGGGGTCCAATGTGCGCAGTTGTAACTGTGGCCTGCGCACCTGACAGCGACAAGGACCATGGGAGAGGAACAGGCGACGGAGGCAGCATCCTGCTGCCATGGTGACTGCAGCGGTACCAAGGCGACAGGATGGCCTTGGGGACATGAGGGAGGAGGGGACTGGTATGGTGCTGGGTCTTGGGGACAGCAGGGGCAGCTGCGGGCTGGATGGGGAGGGAAGGAGGGCATCGGGGCCTGGGGCATGGGGCTCAGTCCCACCCACGGCGGCCTGGCACCCCCCAAGCAGAGGCAGCACCTGCAGAGACATTGGTGCGTCTCAATGGCACCTGCGGCAGGCCACAGGGGACAGGGTGGCCCTGGGGGCTGGCTGCACTGGGGATCCTGGGGTGCCCTGCCCTGGGGGCACTGGGGAATCCATCCCTGGCTCTGTTGCAATCACTGGTGTGTGTACCCACACCCGGGGTACCACTGGGCTGCCCATCCTTGGTTGTACTGGGAATACTGGGGCTGCCTCCGCCCTGCAGCTCTACTGGGATCACTGGGGTGCTCAGCCTTGGTTGTACTGGGAATGCCAGGCACACCCGGTCCTGGCCGTACTGGCGCCGCCAGGGCT